TTTTTTTTGTAGGAAATAATGGTGATATATTTAATTGGTATACTCTTTTACAAAGATTTAAATAGTTTTTTTGTATGCCAATGGGCTTGCAATATTTACCACCTGTACATTGTGTACATATTATGGTGCTATAAAAAAATCTAAAATGTCAATATTCCATGGGTATAGTGATAAATGAGGTCACAATTATAAGAAAATGCATTTTCTACGAAAACTTCAAAAAATGGGTGAAAAATGGTATAATACAATTTCATAGACAATTACATTGTACATCTGATTCACGTAAAATATATAGGGTGTTCCATTTAAATTAAACAAGTTATTACCGTTTAAAGCTAGTAATTATTTAATATAAATTTTTGGACACTCTGTATAAGGTAGTAAAATTTTTATTATTGCAACACAATATCTGATCAATAAATAATCTTCAATAAATATTTAGTATTAAAAACTTTTGATACCCTGGGAGAAATAAAGCCTTAAAATTTTTACTATAATTTCATAAAATTGAAAATATTTCAAAAACGGTAAGGTTTAAGTGTGATAAACCTTAATCAAATTTACATTTATTTCAATCGTAGAATCCAAAAATAGAATAATATACAGGGTGTTCCATTTAAAAAAATACAACTATAATATTTTTTACTTATTTGGGACACTGTATCTTGTAAAAATATTTTTAAATTGTAGCTCTAATAGACCTTCAACGAACCCAAAACTTACAATTTGTAAAAATCTAATCGTTTAGCTACAATACTCCGTGTCGTATGTGGTGAACAACCCTGTATAGGGTGTTCCATTACAAAAAACATAACTTTGATGTGTAACTTTTTTTGGGGACACCCTGTAGAACTCTACATAATTTTAGAAAATGCATTAAATTGACTTACATAAGCTCACAAAATTTCACTTCAATATAAACTGTTGTTCTCCTTGCAAAAACCGCGTCGTATACGACGCGCCACCCTGTATAATTCAATTTCAATCAAATTTTCAGTGATTAAAATATAAGCAGAATAGGTATAGCTTATGCATTAGATTTATTTATTTCAATAAATTTACTTAGAGAAAGAATTAGAAAAATCAAAACATTAAGAAGGAAATAATTAAGAATTTACTAAAATTACTAAAATAAAAAATTAAAAGCAACGAAAAAAAATGGGTAAACATTTTAGTATTTTATCCATAAAACACAATACAGAAGGTTTCACATTAATACATTCACAGTAATTGAATTTCGAGGTAAAAGTCTCTGGGCACTCCACTAGTAATATAATTTCGTTTTAATTCGAGATTTTGAACGTTATCAAAATTAATAATAACCATCTATCAAAGAATGAAATCGAAATTATATTACCATAGAAACGCGTTTTCATTTGAGGACATTTTAGGACAATAGTGCGCCGGGCATCTGTTGATCCTAGAATAAAAAACTTGGGAATTTTGTTTAAATGCAAACCTAAAGGATGTAGGCTAGGATGTATTTCAGAAAATATTTCAATTTCTACAGGGTGGCTCAAAAAAGTGTGAGTGGATTGGTATAATTTTTTCAGATGGGGCACCCCGTATATTATTGCATTTTTGGCTTTACATAATCCTAAGATATGAGTAAATGTGTTTCAATAGTTTCAGTGATTAATAAATAAATAAAAAATATATTTTTTTCAGCGTTTTTTAAAAGAATTATTAAAAATACAAGAACTGTCCTAAAATCAAAACATTTAGATGGTCTGTACTTACTTTGCTATAAATATCATAATCTTAAATCATACAGGATGTTCAAAAGTCTACGCGAAACTTTCTAAAATATATTTTTGTCCTTTTTTTTAATGGAAACTTTTGGAAATTTTACTTTGACAGATCTAAAAACGAACTTTAAAAGATTTCTTTAAATTCACCCCCGAAAAGGGGTGAAATACGTACCTAAATAAAGTATTTTTTCGTAATTTCGGAGAAACGGTAAGGACTAGGGAAAAAAGTTCAAATGAAAGTTGTAGTAGAGCGTCAAATTTTACATAAAAATGATTGGCTCGTATACCTTTTTTGTTCAAATCCAAATTAACTGAGATAGGGGATGATAGTATAGACATTTAATAAAAAGTCATAAGTTGCTGAAAAATTCAGATATTTAACATTTTCTTGCAATTTGTTCGAAAATTATATACCTACTTCAATTCAGATTCTTCACAGAAGCCCATTGGACAGATTGGCGCATGCGCGAAAGGTACCTTACTTAAAATTAGTTGCAACCTTGTCGCCTCAAAAAATATTTTTCCATTATTTTACCTATTTGGAAATGACAAGTAAACAAACTTTTAACGCGTACGGTAAATTTATGAAGTAATTGGAGGATTCGTAAAAAATAAATTTATCGAAGAAAGCAGCTGTTTTAGTTTTAAAATGAAATTTTTAAATTATATAGGTACCGTATGATCGAAAAAAAAACCGGTGTCAGCGAGGGCTATATGAAATAAAAATCGCTCATTTTATATCCCATATAACACACAATATCCGCAGGATATTCATAGAATGTCGGAATGTCCCATTATAAGATCATCTTATAAAGACATCTATAGGATATCCTCCAGACATCCTGAAATCCTGTAGATGTCTCAGAATAGAATATCCTATGGATATCTCTGTCGTATATCTAATGTACATCCAGCTGAGATATACAGTGTGGTCCGAACTGTATTCCGGAAACTTCGGCAGTATATTCTGCAGAAAAAATAAGTAAAAAGTTCGTATACATGTATGTCCTAAAATGCTTAGTTTCGGAGATACAGGGTGTAGAAGTTTCATTTTTATTTTGATTTTTTCCAAATAATTTCTGTAGTAACCTCAATATTCGGATGAAAATTGGTGCCTGGGAGTTTTTTGGCATGAGAAATTTGATTTTGATTTCAATATGACTCCTATTTGTAGGGGGCGCCATCTACATGTGTTTTAACTGTTTTGAAGAGCAATAACTTTTCGTCCGCACCTGTATAAAGCCCCGTTCTCAGAACAGCGACAAAGACAGACACGTCGAAAGAACCAATAAGATTTGTACAAAATTCAAACACCTGTGAATTTTAAATTTTGTGCAAATCTCATTGGTTGTTTGAAATGTCAAACTGTGTCGCCAGCGACAAGACGTCGTTCTGAGAACGGGGCTTAAAGCCCCGCTCTCAGAACACAAACAGTTGTACAAAATTCAAACAGCTGTCAATTTTAAATTTAGTATAGCTCCCATTGGTTGTTTGAAATGTCAAACTGTGTCGCCCGCGACGTCGTTCTGAGAACGAGGCTTAAAACTACTGAGTCAAAAAATATAAATTTTCGTTACTTCTTACGTAAAAAATGTCTCTTGGTAAAAAACACTACGAGTAACCGTTCTCAAGATATTTCGAATGGAAATAGTCAATACATGTCATTATTGACAAAAAAAACACGTTGAGTAGACAGTTACTTTTGACTGAAATAATAAACTTGGGACATTTTTATTTTTTTAAATTAATCATAAACTTTTCTTCGAAAAAATAATGATAAAACAGCTTCTGTTCAACTTTTGGCACAAAAACATTTCAAATTTATGATTTCAATCTAACAACTATTTAGTCAACATATGTATTTAATTTTATGTCAGTAAAATAAAACAATAAATTATTGAGTCTACCCCACGTCTACCCTACATCATAGTTTTACATTTTTTAAATAAAATTAGAACGACACTGATAAACCGGAATTTAAGTCGGCCATATTTGAGGCCCATCGCGGTGTACCTAAGATTTTTGATATGCTCCTTCCTTAGTCTTCTTATTCAAAGGTTAAAACACATGTAGGTGGCGCCCCCTACAAATAGGAGTCATATGGACATCAAAATCAAATTTCTCATATCAAAAAACTCCCAGACACCAATTTTCATTCAAATATTGACGTTACTTCAAAAATTATTTGGCAAAAATCGAAATAAAAATGAAAATTTTACACCCTGTATCTTCGAAACTAAGCATTCTAGGATATATATTTATTTTCCGGAATACAGTTCGGACCACCCTGTATATCAATTTTTCAGCCAACTTATTTTATAAATTAATTTTTTAGAATTTCTACTATCATTCCCTAGCTTCTAATTCCCCTATCTCGGTTAATTTTGATTTGAGCAAAAAAAAGTGTAGACATTTTAATGGAGAATTTGACACTCTACAACTTTTGTTTGAATTTATTCTTTCTAATCCTGGTCGCTTTCCTAAAATTTGGAAAAAAAGCACGTTATAATTTTTCACCCATTCTCGGGAATGAATTTAAAAGAATCTAAATTGAATAAGTTTATAATTTTCGAGCAAATTGAAAGAAAATTTTAAATATATGAATTTTTCAGCAACTTTTTTTTTAATTTCTATACTATCATCCTTTAGCTTCTATCCCCCCTATCTCGGTTAATTTTGATTTGAACAAAAAAAGTATAAAGATCATTTTTATGTAAAATTTGACGCTCTACAACTTTGATTCCGTTTCTCCGAAATTGCAAAAAATACTTTATTTACGTATTTCACCTCTTCTAGGGGGTGAATTTAAAAAAATCTTTTACAATTCGTTTTTAGATCTTCTTTTAAAATGTCAGGATAGGCATAAAATATTGTAATAAAGTTAGTTTTTTTATGATCGAAAAAATTCAGCGTCAGCGATGGCTATGAAATGAAGGTTGCTGTCATTTTATATATAAATTTATATGGGGAATGGTCATTGATCGTCATTTCTAAGCTAACTGGGCGCCTTGTTTTTGCGATCATATGGTATAAGATTAGGGATACAATTATGGTACTTGATGTAATGATTTTTCAACAGCCCTATATTAAATAGTAAGTCAACTTCAACAATTATATATTTAGCAAAATTAATGTTTTATTTGATAAAAGAATTACAATTATAAAATAACAATGTTCTAATAATTACAATCATAAATAGTATTTATATATAAAAAGTATCACCAAGAAAATATATCAAATATATCTATGGGTAGGTAATATGATTGAAAAAAAAAGATGCCAAGTTATCTTAGAAAGGATAATAGAGATGTCATTTTATGGTAAACACTTGATGGTAACATGACGTCATTTTTATTTCAACCACATGGTATAAAAGTGAATACTTAAGGCATAGAGTAATTATAACTTAAACGTAATTATATGTCAATAATAACAAACAACTCAAAGTTGTTCTGTTCAGGTTCGTTAACAATTTGCATAGCAGAGTAAGTAATAGCTTTTACCTCCGTGCCCTGTGGATGTTTCCCTATTGTGAATTCTTCACCGTAACATTTGCATTTTATGTGCATTTCCTCACCTTCAGTCATGAATTCAGTTATTACTAATTTACTACAAATTAGAAAAGGTTCACAACTAAACAGAAATAAAAGTTCATCAAGAAAATGAAACAGAAGACTTTCCAAATCGTGGCCGGTGGCTTCAATTTCCGAACACTGTTTTATTTCAACACTTTCAAGCTCTGTCATGTAGCCGAACATTGCAATTCCACATTGTTCGAAGGCTTCTATCAGACTGTTGCCCCAACTGTGAAGCCTAATTAAATCATTAAGAGTTATATTTTTAATAATATAGAATTAAATGGGAAAACTTACTGTACATCAGCTGTGTGGTCCAAGTCTAAAAAGAAATATAATGTGTAATATATGTTGCAAATTATGACAAAAAATATTACTTACACTCATACTTTTGGGGAGGTAGGGCTAGTTCTTCTGGTGTAAATTCAGGCATACTGCAATAGAAAATATTATAAACGTTAGCTATCGGATAATAAATAAACTTTTAACATCATATTTTTGTAAAAAGGTGACGGAATTTTGAGGTTATATTTAATTTCTTGATGATTTTCTGGTTGCAGCCCCTATACGATTTGAAAAACTAATATAAATTTTATTAGATTTAAATGTACGAAATAATGCATACATACATGTTTATTTCAGTATAATTCCTATATAAGTTAATTATTATTTTAATCTTTACGGTTTTTTTAATATTATATGTGTAAAAAGTGTAATTATTGTACTGTATAAAATATCGCATAATATAATTTTAATGACCTTATGGCGAAGGAAATTTAATTTATCGTTTATAGTTTATATTATGAATAGTGTTTCCAATTTTCGGGATTGGGGTCACGTTTTTGGCCCACGAGATTAAGAATCTAGGGATTGAGAATGAGAAATTTAATCTAAAGAAATACTTAATAAAATTGCAGCTACAAATATAGACTACGTATATCAAAAAGAAAATGAGAATAGAACTTCATTAAAATAGACCAAACAAAGTAACATTCATATTTAGTGATTAAAAAAATCAATTCTTGTTGAAAAAAAAATATAGCACACGCGGAAATTTAACTTTTAGATATTGACGTTCTGCTTATTATAAATAAAATATGATCTTTGAAAAACTAATGTGTATAAAATCGAATCATTTAAGATTGGGCATTTACATTTTTTCAGATTTTCAGGATCTTGTGAGTATCGGGATTTCGGGATTGAACATACACCGAAGTTCCGGTTTGGAAGCTTTAATTATAAACCTATGATATGAACTATAAACTTAAGATTTAATAATAATAATACCTTTAAAATACCTTACCGAGTTCTAACAAATCTCTATTACTATTTCCAGGCCAGCTGCCAAATTCCGTTTTGAACATTAAATCGTGCTTGTAGAAAAATTGACTTATCTGCTTTTTTCCCCTGACTGATATGTGGTTTGTTGTTAATATGTGGACATTGTAAGGGAGAATGTGGCTAATAAATGTTTTAGACAATATCTCAATATTGACAATGCTAATCTACAATTCATATCAAATAATCTTTTAGTTACGTGATTAAGCTTGCCCACTCTTACATATTTTCTTTTAATGAAAATATTTTAGGAAACAAAAATAAATTAATCATAAATATATAAACAGTTATTATTTATATCAACAAAACTCACCTTCTTAACAGCACTTAAGGGACATAAAGGGGCATTACTACCGCTTTTCTGTTCAAACTATTCTAATAAAGTTGCGATGAGTTTTTTACGGCTATTAAGCTATCGTGTACACTTCGCATTAAAAGAGGTTCTAGTACTAGAAAAGGTCTGCTAGTAAAAATTTTTAATCATAAAGTATCACAACCACAAAACTTCATTTAAACCAAAAATTCGTAATACAAAACTAAAGGGTCAAAATGAATGACAATGTCAGAAAATAAATAAATGAATGTGGCAACTTGACATTTTTTATAGCAAAGCTGCCACCTCCAATCCCCAGCGCGAAGTTTACATTCCAGTTAGTCAGCCCAGCGCCGAATATGTCCATGGTTAGCAACAATTAATTTAAAAATCATCCCCTCGATTACGTAACTAAAAGTTTAATTGATATCAAATATATATTTATAATTTGTACCATAATAAAATGGTTTGATTGTTGGTTCATACTTCAGATTTTAATGTACCAATCGTATCTTTATCATTGGCCTTAGTTTGTGATTACAGACGTTCGTTTTTTTTTCGATTCTATCGACGATTTAATCATATTTAATTACTTTGAATAAGAAGACTAAGGAAGGAGTATAATGCTATCCATGTATTCATGCATGGTGGGCGGAAAAAGCATCATAAAAGCACTCTAGGGTGGGGATCCTTGACAGTTATATTTGACGATTCATTTGACACATTTGAAATTTTGTGGATTTGTCAGTCTTTACGGAGCTTATCTTATATTATTTATTATTTATTCTACTACTGATAGTTGTATAAAGGTAGTAAATCTAGATGGAAATTGTGGCAGAACTTAAATTAACAGTGACACTATCGCGATTTATCGAAAAAGATTCTAAAATAGTTGGTTGTGTAGCGTGCGGTAGATCTCGGCAAAAATTGAGTGAAATAAGGGAACAACTTTTCGCTAGTAAGTGACTATATAATATACATACGTGTAGTAAACCGATCATTTATGAAATTCACTTAAATTAACTATATTATATATTTTTCTTGCATTTTAGCTTTTATTTATTAATTGTCAGATGTCAAAGAATTTAGATACGTTAATTCATCGTTAATTTGACTTACCTGCTTCAGTAGCATATCGGATGTTTGTGTTAATAAATACTTATTATAACTTATCTATTTTTATTAGAATTATATATTTTTATAACAGTTTTAATAACTACCAACATTTATTTACAACGTAAAATAAAACAACAAATTATTGAGTCTACCCCACGTCTACCCTATATCATAGTTTTACATTTTTTAAATAAAATTACAACGACACTGATAAACCGGAATTTTAGTCGGCCATATTTGAGGCCCATCGCGGTGTACCTAAGATTTTTGATATGCTCCTTCCTTAGTCTTCTTATTCAAAGTTTAATTATGATTGGAGTGATGGACGACGGCATGACGGATGGATATAAACCCACCTTTAATCCTTTAAAGTTTTAAAGAGATTCCTAATAATATTTTAGTACGAGCCTGCACTCACAGATGGGGTATATGTATATGTTTCCGTGAACTTAATTTTACAAATATTTTTTTGAAAGTTTTTAGAATTCGAAAACTGACAGACTAATTTACATTATTCACTTGTTTGAAAATAATTATTAATCATTACTATGCCACTGAATAGATAATGTTATAAACTATTGACATCAACTTTTCACATATTATTTGGAAAAATCTTAAAACCCCTACTTTTGAGCATGCGCAATTTAATTTAATTTTTTATTAGCATTAGAATAAGAATAGAAATTAGTTATGTAAACTAAAATATCCTCAAAAATATATACATTTTTTTAGGACTTTTTAGGTTATTTACGCGAAGTATTTTGAGGATTTTTGAGGAAGGTGGAGTCTTTCACCCTTGGTGAAATCTTACGACGATTTATTTCCTCCCCCCCTTAATCTCACGTGACATCTTTTAAAAAAATGAATATTTTTATTTTGAGTATAACTGCGTTGAATTTATTTAAAAAACACAATCTGCTTTATTTATTTTTATTAAAACTAGTAAAGACTAATATTTTTGAAATTGTTTAGATCGTAATCTACAATCGCAGTGAGATAAACATCAAAAAATACTCTAAATTAGCTGTGGTTTTTTGGTTGAAAAGTAAAATAAAACTCATAAAAACTAACAATATATCTGTTACATAATATATTTATTTATTTACTAAAATTTTACAATATTGTAACAAAATTGTATGAAAACAACAATTAAATGACTTAATTATTTTTTTACATTGGATTTATTAATAACATTTCCTATGTCTTATTTAAAATAATATCTAAAAGTAAACCTAATTATTTAGGTATTATATTTTATGGAAACAATGCTCCATTTAAAATTGCATTTACGAAATAGCACTAAGTATTTTGTTGGTGTGCTTTTTTAAATCTTTTTCGCATCTCATCATTTATACTATTTATTTATTAGTATAATAATTGCAGGATTTCTATTTTCTATCTGTAAGAAATTTTGAGAAGCACCGAACTATACTTTTTTCTTATTTTACTCCAATAAAAATATAATCATAAAATTAATAAATAAAACCAATTTTAATAATCCTGCAAAAACCTATTTGTTTTATGATGTTACATGGAACAATAATAAAATGAGTTATCAAATTAGTAAACAAGGTTTTACATTATGTATAATAAATGAATTGATTGTATTATGGATTTTCAAGTCAACTTGATGTTAAACTCTGCCAATAAAATTATTCTCAAAATGCATATGTTGATATATGTAAATAACGCATGCTAATTTGGTTCGTGTTGAAATCTGCATTTTTGTTGCATTTTAAAAATAAAACAACTAACAACAAATTAAAGCAATGGCATACAAGTATAGCGTCAAACTTGGCTAGTCTCAAAAAATTGAATAACTAGAATTAGTAATTTATTACATTATATTGTTTTCTAAATGAAGACAAATGAAAAATTACACAAAATTTTTGAGAATAAATCTTTTAACAATGAGGCTAAATTAACTCATTTTTATCTGTTTCTAGTGCATATCTATAAAATATATAAAAGTTAAGCATAAGTCAAACCATGGTCTCGTGTCCATTGATGTGAATGAAATGTGAATGAAGAAATTTAAAACTTAAATTTGATAGTACCTTTTTAGGATTCCTTATAAGTCTTATAACATTATTTTTTGAATATATTTAAATCTCTTTACTATATTTTTGAATTCAGAAATATTTTTCAGACTTTTATTGAATTTCAATAATTAATACTCATATTAATAATAATTCTATTTTGCTTGAGAAAATGTTACCTACTGAAGAGAATAAGTGAAATACCACAAATTTATAAAAAAATATACAGGGTAAGTAAGGCAGTTAAAAAAATTAATATTAATTATTATATTAATTAAAATAAATATTTATAGGGCTGGTAGTTCTCGATAAAGAAAATATATTTTCTCATTGCCGATTCTAAAATAAAGTCCATAATAACAGCGTTATTTTTTCTAGAAGGAAAGCTGGATAATCAGGTACTGAAACCGAAAATAAAAAAAAACTATAACAGTTATGTCTATAAAAGATCTATAAAAAATCTATCTCGACACATCCATTAAACCGGACACGTCCCTTAAACCGTACACATTCTTATTTTCATTGCACTTACCTCTTTAGGTAACCGTCACTAAATGACTGTTACCTAATGAGATGAGAAAATTAACTCACCAAAAAGTATAAGCATTATTTAAAAAGTATTTTTACGCTTCATTCAGAGCCTCGAAAATTTTGGAATAAATTAGTGGTTTCAATTAGCGAAGAAATTTGTTCCTGTAATTTTTATATAAGCATTCAGAACGCTAAAATTAGCGGTA